ATTGTAAATAACTTCCAAACGTCTAAATCAGAAAGACAAAAGAGCATTTAAATCTTTGTCTAGAAAAGTTGTGGGCTATGGTTAGTTTCTTTTCTAAAACTGTTAAAAATATACAAGGATCATCCATACAATTTGCGGTTTTATTACATTTTGTCTTAAATAGAGTGCTTGTAATTTGTTTACTAAATTGTTACCTTTTAGAAAGCTTGTTAAAAGTAGTAGCAAGGAGAGAAAAAATGTTAGAATTTAAATCATCTAGAGGGGAATATTTTCTTAAAAATCTTTGAAAAGGCAATAAAATATATTAGATGGGATGTGTTGTATAAAAGCCATTTAAGACCTTTTCTGAGGAGAAGATTGGACAAGAATTCAAAATAGTCAAATAAAGATGAATCAACAGTATTATGAAAATAGACTTTGTGACTCTCTCAAGCAGTATTTGAAGTGAGCATAGCGCTTTAAGGTAATGAAAATGCTTTGTTTATTTTAATCTATTAACTCATATTTGCACAAGTGAACTCTATCAGAAAAAAAATAATGAGATGTGGGCTACAGGTACAGCTTATTGCTATGGGAATGGCCTCCCATGCACAAGACCCCGGGTTTGATCTCTACAACACTGAAAGAAAAGTAAAAGGTATATTTGTTATTATAATATTCTAATTTAGGATAGCCTTAATATATGACAACTATTTGTTTGTTCTACTTTTTATTTTGAGTTTATACCATATTATCTCATAACAATAATGTCATACATATTTCCCTTTCATTTCCTCTCTCCAAACCCTCTGATATACTCATCTCTGCTCTCCTTCACTTTCAGGACCTCTCTTTTCATTATTTTTTGTATATTGATACACATGTATATTCCTAAATATTACCTGTTCTGTTTGTATGTATAATATTCCTTGTATATATGTTTTGATTTGGAGAATTAATACTAAACTTGTCAAAATTTTCCAGATAGTAGCTTGTTGGTGCTTATACAGCCATAAATATGTTTGCATTATACATATATGTATGTATATATATATATAATTAAATAATTGACACTAACCCCTGAATCTTCAAGGAGAAACCCTCATATAACGATGTTGAGTAAGTAAAGATGAATAAATAAAAATGTAGGTAATCACTGAGTTTTCTAAGATTACCGTAAGTTCCTTTTTTTGTGTTTTGCAATGTTGTAGAAATTCCATCCCAGCCAGGTGTTCATAGTGCATGCCTTTAAGCCTAGCACTCAGAAGACAGAAATAGGCAGATCTCTGTGAGTTCCAGGACAGGCTCCAAAGCAATACAGAGAAACCCATCTCAAAAAAAAAAAAAGGATAGAATTGCTATCCCATAGCCCATGGGTCACACATGTCCAAGAACAGCTACCAACGCAGTGTAAACAAAAAAACCTAGACTATTAAGAGATTTTCTTTGTAATTCTTGAGTGTGAATTCTGATGATGGAGTCATGCTATAATAGGTAGTGTTAGACACATGTTAGTGCTATAACAACACAACATTCCATGAACAGCTACTGACTGTATATTTAGCCTTGAACTTTGCTGCTAAGTAATTTCAGTCCCAATGTAAACACTAGGTGTCTTCATACATTAAATCTGGTAACACATGCAAACAATCTCTATTGCTAATAAAAAATAGCCAATGTTTTTGTTGGTCAACTGTCTGTCTAAGAAACACCTACCCTATCCTTCCCTCAATCTGAGAGCTCTCTTACTATTACCTAACAGAGGAAGTGTTATAATTGTGTTTCAATGGTTCAAGAGGAGATACCCACAGTAGCGCAAAATACTGTTAGAGAAGTTTTCCCAAAACATGTGCTCCTCAGTACATCTGTAACTAAAACCCTGCAACATTTCCAAAAGACTTTACATAGTTTATCCCTGCTGTTGTTGTGAATATATGCTAATAACTGTGTGCTTATTTCTGAGACCAGTCTATACTCAAAATTCGTGTTGCTCACAGTAACTAAAACAAGGTTGTTTAACTTCATAGTGGCATGTATTGGTGAATTACATTTAACTTTGCCCTTAACTTGAAGCTCACTCCTTTCATCAGCTCCAAACTTCAAAGATGGGAAAGTCCTATAGCAACTATAAATTCCCAACAACCAAGACCTCCTCTGGAACCCACGGTGAACAGGTAGTCAATGGGAATCCAGCAGATGGGAATCTCATAGTCATGATGCCACAAACTGAGAACTCTGTCACTCCACATGCAGATTAGCAAGCAGCAGCTGTTTCCTCATCTCTGACATCACCATCGTTGTAGCTGCTTACATACTTTTTACTCATTATGGTTTGGGTCACACTTGCTCTTCTGACAAAATCCATGAATGAAGAATTAGCAATTCTGCAAGCTTGGAGTTTGGTAAACCTGTTACCCCTGAATTGTTAGTTTTAGTCTGTGTTACACTAATTTAATTGGACTTTTTTCATCTTATGGGTGTTTTATTTTCTAGTCATAAGTTCTCTTTTGTATTCACTTCCAATGATTTGATAATCTGAAAATAAGTCGAAAATTGTGCTTATCACATTGCAAGTAGCACCGCTGTGAATGAAACCTCATTGAAAACCACTAATGGTTCACATAGATGATGATGATGCTTTGAATAATAACTTTTTATTTGCTATGAGACTAAGTCCTGATAAAATCATTTTTTTCTTTTTTTATTATTTATTTTTAAGTTTAAATTGAGATTTGAAACAAGGTTGCTTCACAAGTCAGTTCCAGGTCCCTCTCCCTTTCCCTCCCCTCATCCCATACCCTCCCCCCAACCCCCCCATTATCCCCTCATTTCCCCAGGGAGGGTGAGGGCCTCTATGGGAGTGTCCATAGTCTGACAGAACCCATCCTTCTGCTGCATACAAGAAACACACGTCACCCTCAAAGACAGACATTACCTGAGAGTTAAAGGTTGGGCAAAGAAGCAAACTCCCCCAGGAGGAGTAGACGTCAGGAAATAATCAAATTGAGGGGTGAAATCCATAAAGTAGAAACTAGGAAAACAATACAAAGAATCAATGCAACAAAGAGTTGGTTCTTTGAGAGAATCAACAAGATAGACAAACCTTTGTCCAAACTTACCAAACAGCAGAGAGTGAACATGAAAATTAACAAAATCTGAAATGAAAAGGGGGACATAACAACAGACTCTGAGGAAATTCAGAGAATCATCAGGTCATACTTTGAAAACCTGTACTACACAAAATTTGAAAATTTAAAGGAAATGGATGACTTCCTGAATAGCTATCACTTGCCAAAATTAAATCAAGAACAGATAAGCAATTTAAATAGACCTATAACCCCTATGGAAATAGAAGCAGTCATCAAAAGCCTCCCAACCAAAAAAAAAGCCCAGGTCCAGATGGCCTCAGTGCAGAATTCTACCAGAAATTCAAAGAACAGCTTATACCAATTCTTCTCAAAGTATTCCATGCAATAGAAACAGAAGGGTCTTTGCCAAACTCTTTCTATGAGGCTTCAAAAACCTTGATCCCCAAGCCACGCAAAGACACAACTAAGAAAGAGAACTTCAGACCAATATCCCTCATGAACATTGATGCAAAAATTCTCAATAAAATACTGGCAAATCGGATCCAAGAACACATCAAAACAATCATTTACCATGAACAAGTAGGTTTCATCCCAGGGAGCAGGGATGGTTCAACATATGAAAATCTATCAACGTAATACACCATATAAACAAGCTGAAAAGCAAAAATCACATGATCATCTCACTAGATGCTGAAAAAGCCTTTGACAAAATCCAACACCCCTTCATGATAAAGGTCTTGGAGAGATCCGGGATAATAGGAACATACTTAAACATAATAAAAGCTATATACAGTAAACCAACAGCCAACATCAAACTAAATGGACAGAAACTCAATGCAATTCCTCTAAAATCAGGAACAAAACAAGGCTGTCCACTCTCTCCATACCTTTTCAACATGGTACTTGAAGTTCTAGCCATTGCCATATGACAACAAAGGGGGATCAAGGGGATACAAATTAGGAAGAGGTCAAACTTTCACTGTTTGCAGATGATGTTTACATAAATGACCCAAAGAACTCGGGAACTCTTACAGCTGATTAACACCTTCAACAAAGTGGCAGGCTACAAGATCAACTCAAGAAAATCAGTAGCCCTACTATATACAGATGATAAAAGGGCTGAGAAAGAAATCAGAGAAACATCACCCTTTACAATTGCTACAAACAACATAAAATACCTTGGGGTAACACTAACCAAACAAGTAAAAGACCTGTATTGCAAGAACTTTGAATCTTTAAAGAAATTAAAGAAACCCTCAGAAAATGGAAAGATCTCCCATGCTCTTGGATAGGTAGGATCAATGTAGTAAAAATGGCAATCCTGCCAAAAGCAATCTACAGATTCAATGAAGTCCCCATTAAAATCCCAGCACAATTCTTCACAGACCTTGAAAGAACAATAATCAACTTTATATGGAAAAACAAAAGACCCAGGATATCCAAAACAACCCTGTTCAACAAGACAATGTCCAGAGGCATCACCATCCCTGACTTCAAGCTCTATTACAGAGCTATAGTCCTGAAAACAGCTTGGGATTGGCACAAAAATAGACAGGTAGACCAATGGAATCAAATTGAAAACCCTGATATTAACCCACACACGTATGAAAATCTGATCTTTGACAAAGAAGCTAAAAATACACAATGGAAGGAAGAAAGCATCTTCAACAAATGGTGCTGGCATAACTGGAGGCTGGCATGTAGAAGAATGCGGATCGATCCATGTTTATCGCCATGCACAAAACTTAAGTCCAAATGGATCAAAGACATCAACATAAATCCAGCCACACTGCACCTCTTAGAAGAGAAAGTGGGTGGTACCCTTGAACGAATTGGTACAGGAGACAGCTTCCTGAACATAACGCCAGTAGCACAGACAGTGAGATCAACAATTAATAAATGGGACCTACTGAAACTGAGAAGCTTCTGTAAGGCTTTATTTCAGGTCTCCTGGCTATCAAAATATACACAAGCAAACACAGGATCATCTGACCAGTGATTCTCTGTCTCATAACTATAATCCTATGCATTAAGATGTTTGATTTTAAGTCTTATCTTGAAAGACTTCTTGAGTTCCTCAATGAACAAACCTTGCTTACTAAATGCTTGTCCCATGGAGTAAGCTTAACTTGCACTGCTGCCATACTCCCCCACATGTGTCTCACAGGCTCCTTAAAGCTATGTTGATCACTGTGGGTTCTTCTCACAGCTTGGTGGAGCTGTGGTGATCTCTTTGCCATTCTGTCTCACAGAAGAATTCTGCCATGACGTCCTCGGGAATCCAGTGATTTCTCCCCTCAGGGACAGTGGCTCACTGAACATGGGCAGGCCTGACTCCCTGGGTGAAGCATCATTCCTGGGTACCTTCTGGTTTTCCAGGTGGATCATTTGGCATCATTTTGCCCTGCCCAGCAGGCTACAACTGGGGTCCAGCCTACGGGAACCTAAAATGATGGGAAAAGAGACAAGAGCTGATTACAGCAAGACAACATGGATGATCAAGCTGCATTAAATGAAAATTTTGTAGAGGCTCAAATAGGGGAAATGAGGGAGGGGGATGGGGCAGAGAAATACAGGAAAAGGAGGCAGGGGTCATTGTCTCATTTTGGTGCCGAGGAATGTTCTTGGTCACATATGAAGGAGTATTTTTCGTCATGAAATGAGGGGTGTTGATTGTCAGAGACCACCACCTGGGCTGAGCAGCAGGAATGAAGATAAGTCGTGTTAGTAGGGTAGGTGCTAAATAACCTAATTTCAGGGAGTAAGATTAGGTAACCTAACTGTAGATTGCTATCTGCTATTCCTGTTTGCCCAGGTTTTATTCAGTAGGAAGCTGGATTGGGGACAGATTACTCTTTTAAAAGGCTGGAAATATATATAGGAGGTTCTAAATAACAATTATCATTCCCGACAATTCTTCCCACTTTTTTCCAAGTAAGAAGTTGAGCTACTGTCACTATCTCACCACAAGTGGGAGCAGGGATCCTGGTCATCCTGGATGGGTATGTGAGATATAGCCTGGAGCACACTAACCAAGGCTTTCTAGCCAACCTTGCTCAGGCCCATCATGATGTCTTTTTATGGAGGGAAAGGTTCTATGACATCAACCTTCATGCAACCAGGTATAAACCCACAAAGCCCAGGATAGACACCATTGGGAGTCTCTTCACTGCACTCACAGAGTGCACCTCGGTAGGAGACATCTTAATTTTGTCAATAGCAGAAGGAGGTCTCCTTGTTGGAAGTGGCCCCTTTAATTGTGGGTTGTGGGTTGTCACCTTCTTAAGGCTTACCTTGATCATGATCCTTGAAGTCAAGCCTGTGGTATTGAGTTTGGTTAGGCTTTGTCATTGAAGAATCCATCAGGTGGCAGATGAAGTTAGTTAACCTCTTGATGTCTCAAGGGCCAAATGGAAGCAAAATTCAAAAGCCAGTAAGGAATCCTAAAATGGAAGTGAGTAGGGTGGTAAGTCAGAGTATGGCTTAGAATCAATGTGGAATCATCCCAGTTCCTGTTCTCTCTGTTTCCTTCTGTTTTTCTAACCTCTATTATGACCTTGTCCATACTGTCTATTGTTGCTCCCGAGTGATCTGTATTGAAGCAGCATTCCTCTATTAATGGTGCACAGATTCCTCCCGTTGTAAAACAAACTGGTCTAAGCCTCATCTGAGTCTGGCGATGCCCTTTTCTAAACTATGGATGTCATTATTGATCGAGGTTTGGAGCTCTGAGTATTGGTGTTTTGAGAGCACAAGCAATGAAATCCCAGTACCTGTCCCCAAGGTTCCTAGCCCCAAAAGCACATCTTGTTTTGAACAATAGTTAAGGCAGGTGATAATTTGACTAAATTGTAAAACATAGGGGCAGAATTCAGCAGGGGTGAGTAGATGCAGGTGTAATCCCATCCTGACAGGCCCACAGTGCATCATTCTCAGGGATCAGTTAAGCAGAGTTGGTTTGGGGAAGCCTGTGAGCTTGCAGAGGAGGGAATGGGTTGAGGGAATTTGGAAACTGGGTGGGGAAGGGTTCCATGCAGTGTCAGGAAAACTGATTCAGCATGTTTCATTGCAACTGACTTGGGCAGTTTTCCATTGTTTTAGGTCCAGATTTTTTTTTTGCTCCATGTATCTCACCAAATGTTTGGGCAGCCACCAAGCTTTGTTCTTTTCCTGTAAGAAAACATAAAAATTCCCTCCACACCAAATTGGGTCTTTTCCACTGTCTGGTTTATGGATGTTTTTATCTGACCAGAGAAAAAGTCACTTGAGTACGATCATATCACAATCTGTGTGTAGTAGATTATTCACTGGCATCCACATTTAATAATTTTAAAATGAAGTGTGCATTATTTCATCCATCATGTGGAGACAAAGTTGATTTTATAACTATTTCTGCAGATGACATGTGATTATAGTTCATTGTTTAGTATGTCTGAATGGCTACTTCCATGCCTGTTTAGGCGGTGGCTAAGGCCCCAGATATAAAATGTCCCACTATCATGGGGATGAATCAGATGGCTCTCTTATGTCTAGGAATATGATAATCTATGCAAGGTATTAGAATGGGCTCACTTCTTGGAATAAAATCAACATCGAGAGTAGGTTGTCTCAACAAATAACCCTGTCCAATTTATAGGCAACATGGACAATGCCATTGCATTTTCACTTGTAAAAATTTGTATAGGCCAAGGACAAAAGAGCTTTGGATACATTACTCATTGAAGAGCAGGAAGAGAATGTTGCATGTCCTACATCTATATCAAAGGTATTATTTTTAAAATTCTATAAAGGGATAAGGAATGATTAATTCCTGTGGGTTGTATCTTAATACTAATGCTAAGAGAGCAATTAATACCTGGTGGGTGACAGCCAACAGGTTCCCAGGAATTTTGCAACACCACAACCACCATAGGTCAAGAGGATCACAAGGCCAAACAAAACCAGCAATCCCTTGCCAGGTGGTGATTGGTGACATTACTATTACTCCCCAGGTTTTAGTTTTAAGAAATTGTATTTTTAAAGAGCTATGAACACATTGTAAAATTCTTTGAGGATTATATGGAATACCTTTGGTGATCAGTTTTCTATTGAGTACAAAAGAGCTGAATGTCTTTTAGAATTTCCAGACCTATTGTCTGTCATTTATCACTTTTGTAACTCCCATATAAGCAAAACATTTTAAACAGTGATTTATAACATGGTTGGTGACTTTTTCAGTTTGTGTGGCGGCCATCAAGAAATCTTAATACCTATCAACTGACTTGTGTATATACTCTAATGTCTCAAATTATGTAACATGAGTAACATCCACTTGCCATAAATGCTGAGGAAATGGGCCTCTAGGGTTCATTCCTCAATTACTTACAGATGAATATTGTGAGCACATCTCATTGTTTGAGAATTTTGACAAGGGGTGTCTCTAATTAAACAAAATTGCCTTCCTAGACTTCTGCTATTTTGATGAGGAAAATTAGGAGACTGCAGAGATCTCTCTACCAGAGTCAAAGCAACCAGTTTTGTTAATCTATGTGTTGATTCATTTTTCTCTAGCCAGTGGGCTGTGAAGGTTTGAATGAGCTCTTATGATACCCACCAAAACAAGGCAATTGCATTTTGAATGTGTTCAAATACTATTTTAACCTGATCATTGTTATTTTCAATGCACTGAACTATCATTATTATTTGAAGAGTTTTTAAAACATGATGATTGTCAGTATACAATTAAATGAACCATTTACTAGAAGTTGAAAAACCATTGTGACAGCTCAGAACCCGACTATCTGAGCTGAAGCCAGAGTTGTTTGTTCCAGATATTTCTTATTATCTATAACATAAGCTGCTTTTCCATTAGAATGACCATTAGTAAACACTAGCACTACATTTATTATGGGAGTATTTTTTTATATTTTGGAGAATATAAAAGGATGTATTAGCACAAACTCTAACCACCTATGAGCTGTAACGGATTATCAATTGTGCCTGAAAATTCAGCAAAAGCAATTTCCCATGAATCACTGTTTTGTAAAAAACAATCAAGTTGATGTTTGGAATAAGGAACATATATCTTACTTGGTTTTCGTGAATGCCTTTAAAAAGTGGCATAACCGTTGAATATCTTCCAACAATTTCTGAAAAATCACTCAAAGATTTGAAGTAAGTCTTTTAATTCTCTAAATTGAGGTTTAATTTTTGTTAGAATTATAAAATATGTCCCAAATAATTTTATAAAGTAAAGTTCATAAGAAGTTTTTTCCATCCTAACACATAAAGCTCTCACTAGCTGCAAGGACTCATTTGCATCTTAGCTGACATGGTCTATTTACATCTACACTGACACCTTTGTGGGTGGGGTCTAACAGAGGGTGGCAGTTTCCTGAGGCTTCTCAAACCTTTATAAAATAATTAACTCTCATTTTCTAGATTATCTTTTTTAACCATATATATTTAGGAGGATCTCTGTATCCTCTCCTCTACTAAATTCTATTGAATAATCCATATGGATTATCTTGGATCCTATGCCATGCTGTAGGTTTCTGCTTTTTCCGTTGACTGACTCTGAAGGCTGAAACTGACAACCTTTCCTGTTAAGAAATGGACCAACTGGCTGTATGCTAACCTTGGTTATATCCTACATAATATAGGTAGCTTTTGAACTATATCCAAAGTGATTTATGTATCCAAGGCAATTTAAATAGTTACTTTTATCAGCATTAACTCATTCAGAATCACATTTCATACATACTGGTGTGGACACACCATACACACAAAGCATGCACATGTCTCTCCTCTCTCCTTTTGCCTAAGTCATGATTAGTTAGTTGAAATGAAACTTTTTAAGTGAAGTTTCTTGTAACATAGTAGCTATAGTCAATGCTTGAATTATGAGCATCCAATATCTGAATAGATCCGAATTTATCCATGTTTTATTTCTTTCTCTATAAGGTCTTAAAATATTTTCTGATTGGCTGTATTAAAAGCACTTTGTATATATTTGTCTGGGTGTCAGCCACGGCAGTGGCTCTCAAAGCTGCCAGCTTCCCAGGTTTTGGCCTTGGCCTTCCTCGCCTTTGTCTTTGGGCCTGGGCTGGCCTGTTGTACGTTTTCTGTGACTGCTTTCCTCTCCTACATCCTGGGCATCCAAGCTAGTCCCTTAATTTTTCTTAAGGTCCTGTGCCTGATATCTGAACAAATCTTTAAAGTAATCTGTGCTACTTTCCTTACTACAAGGTCTCAGTGCAGAATGACATGCTGTATTAGCATTCTCATAAATTATAAGTCTCAATCAAAAGTTTAACATCTTTAATATCTCCCCCTTTCAGTTGTTACCAGTATTAGCCTAGTGAAAATATTTTTGAAATAACTCCTCAGGTCCTTGCCTGCACTTTCTAAAGTGTTTATCCTGTGTCTTGGCAGCTGGAACTTTGTTCAAAGTTCTCTTGGCAGCTGTGCCAATCTTGTATATATTGCTATGCCAAAACTTAACTCCTTCCTAAGGGAGCAACTCATAGGAAAGAGGAAGCTGTTGGACTCTATTTTTTCAGCTATGTTTAGACACTGCTCTGTAAAGTCTTCTTTCCTGGACAGATTTCATCCCTTTTGGTAGGCAGGTCTTGGCTCTCTTCTTCCAATCTCCTGAGGGTAAGGTTTCTATAGCAATATTTTTCTTAGCATCTGGACAAATCAGCTATTGGTCTATTCTGAATAAAAGTCATTTTTAGTCCCTGAGCTGTTTAAATGTTATCACCATATACACCCTGCCTATGGTTGACTGTTCCCTCTGCTCTGTGATTGAAAATGTCTGAAATCCCTGTACATCTTTTTGTTGTTGTTGTTGGATGCGTCTCTATCACTAATCTGCACTGCTGACATCATTCCTACTGCTGTTACTGGCCATGATTTGAGGGGTGCTTGCACCCTATGCTGATCTATGCTTGCTGCTGCCTTAGACAGAGGAATGTTCTTTTGATCTGAGGAAACATGGGAAGTTATTATCTACTGTGAGAGCAATTCCACTAAATCTTTCAAGCCTATTAGCATATTCTGAATTTCAGCACTAGGTTTCTGCTTCTCTGTGTTTCTAGGTAAAAATGAGGGAGGTGAAGGCTCTCTCTCCTGATACTCAAACACTTTGTTTACTCATTCAAATCTCTCTGCCTCTTAGGGTCCTTTTCATTTAGCTACTCCGAGTCTGTGTGGAGGTCTCTGCTAACTGGGTCAGAGGCAGATATTTTATGCTGTCCTTCCACTATGCGTGGTCAAATTTTCACTTCCCCAAGCCATGGAGCAGCTCTGATACAGCTGTAGCAGTGGCTCCTTTGAGAGGGAATGATGCTTTTAAAACTTTAAGACTCTAAAATTTTCTGTACTTAGGTTGGCTTTATATCAGCTCTCCTGGATATCACACACAAGTAAACATAGGATCATCTGACCAATGATTGTCTGTATCATAGCTATAATCATATGCATTAATATCTTTGATGTTAACCCTTACTCCTCATGTCTTGAGAGACTTCGTGAGAAACTCAATGAACAAATCTCCCTTACTAAATGATTCTCCCATGGCACAAGCTTACTCTTATTAATCTGTCTTACTTCTCCAGATGTGTCTCACAGTCTGTGTATAGTTGTGGTGATCTCTGGCATTCTGTCTCACAGCAGAGTTGAGCTGTACCAAACTATGGGAGCCAGTGATTTCTCCCCTTGGGTACAGTGTCGCAGTGATCACGGGTAGGCCTGACTCACTGGGTGAAGCAGCATGCCTGGGTAACTTAGGGTTTTCAAGTCAGATCATTGGGCTCCAATTTGACCTGTCCAGCAGGCCACGAGTGGGGTCCAGCCAGGGAACCTAGAATGATGGGACAAGAGACAAGAGGAGTTTAGACCACAACAACAGGGCTAATCAAGCTGCATTATATGAGAATTTTAGAGAGGCTAAAATAGGGGAAATGAGGGAGGGGGATGGGGCAGAGGAATGCAGAAAATGAAGGGAGGAGAATTTCTCTGGTTATCTGGCCAAGGAGTATTCTAGACAATACCAAGGATTAGTTTTGGTCACAAAATGAGGGGTGTATATAGTCGGAGACCACACAGAAAGGCTGAGCAGCTGGAATGAAGTTAAGTGGTGTTAAAGTGTAGCTTCTAAATAACCTAATTGCAGGGAGGAGAGTTAGGTAACCTAAATGTAGATTACTATCAGCTATTCCTGTGAGACAATTTTTTATTCAATGGGCACCTGGATATTTGACTGATTAAACTTTTAAAAAGCTGGAAATGTATATAGGATGTTAAATAACAATTATCATCCCTGACAATTCTTCCCACATTTGTTTTCCAAGTGAGAAGGTAAGCTACCGACACTATCTTACCACAAGTGGGAACAGGGATCCTGGTCCTCCTGGATGGTTATGTGACATTTATCCTGGACCACTCAAATCCAGTCTTTGGAGGCAAGTTTGCTCAGGTCTGTCATAATGTCCTTTTATGGAGGGAAGGCTTTCTATGACATCGACCTTAATGCAACCAGGTGTACCCCATGAAGCCCAGGATAGGCATTTTTGGCAGCCTCTTCACTGCACTCACAGGGTGCAACTGTATGGGAGACATTTTAAATTTGTCAATAGTAGAAGGAGGTCTCCCTGTGAAGTGGCCCCATGATTGTGGGTTGTCACATTCTAAAGGCTTACCTTAACCACAGTCCTTGAAGTCAAGCCTGAGATATTGAGTTTTGGTAGGCTTTGCCCTCAGGGAGACCATTGGTTGGCAGATGGAGTCAGTTAACCTCTTGATGTCCCAAGGGCCAAATGAAAGCAAAATTCAAAAGCCAGTAAGGTTTCCTAAAATGGAAGGGAGTAGGGTGGTAAGTCAGGATAAGGCTGAGCTGAGCACCAATTTTGGAAACATCCCTGTTCTTGCTGTTTCCTTCTTTTCTCTATAGTTTCTACTGTGACCTTGTCTACACTGTCTATTGTCACTCCTGTGTGATCTGGATAGAAGCAGCATTCCTTTTTAAGGGCAGCACAGATTCCTCCTTTTTGTGAAACAAAGAGGTCTAAGCCTTGTTTGTCCTGGAGGACAACCTCTGAAAGAGTCTAAGCATTTGGGGGGCTGGTGATATCATTATCTATAGAGGTTTGGAGCTCTGAGTAATGGTGCTTGGAGAGCACAAGGAATGAAATCCCAGGACTTGTGCCCAAGGCTTCTAGCTGCAAAACCATGTCTTGCTGGGAATAATAGTTATAGCAGGAAATAATTTGACTAAAATGCAAAACATGAAGGCAGAATTCAGCAGGGATGAGTAGATGTAGGTATAAACCCATCCTGACAAGCCCACCAGGCCTCATTCTAAGGGATCAGTTAATCGGAGTTAGTATGGGGAAGCCAGTGAGGTTGCAGAGGTGGGAATAGGTTGAGGGAATTTGGAAACTGGGTGGGGAAGGTTCCATGCGTTGTCAGGAACACTGGTTCATCATGTTTCATTGGAACAATGGCAGCTTTCCATTGTTTCAGGTTCCGGTTTTTTTTTTTTTTTTTGCTCCATGCATCTCACCAAATGTTTTGGCAGCCACCAAGCTTCCTTCTTTTCCTGTAAGGAAACACAAACATTCCCTCCACCCCAAATTGGGTCTTTTCCACTGTCTAGTGTACGGAGGTTTTTATCTGACCAGAGAAAAAGTCACTTGAGTACGATCATATCACAATCTGTCTGTAGTAAATTGTTCACTGGCATCCACATTTAAGAATTTTAAAATGAAGTGTGTATTAGGTAATGCATCATGTAGAGACAAAGGTGATTTTATAGTCATTTCTGCAGATGACATGTGATTAAGGTTCATTGAGGAGTATGTCTGAATAGTCTCTCCCATGCCTGTTTAGCCAGTGGCTAAGGCCCTGGATTATCCAAGTCCCACTATCAGGGGAAGAAATCAGATGGTTCTCTCGTGTCTAGGAATATGATAATCTATGATAAATATTGGAATATGATCACTTCTGGAAATAAAATCAACACTGAAAATAGGTTGGCTCATCACATAACCCTGTCCAATTTGTAGGCAACATGGACTATGCCATTGCATTTTCACTTATAAAAATTTGTATAGGCCAAGAACAAAAGAGCTTTGGATACATTACACATTGAAGAGCAGGAAGAGAAGGCTGCATGTCCTACATCTATATCAAAGTTATTATTTTTAAAAATCCTTTAAAGGGATAAGGAATGATTATTCCTGTGGGTTGTATCTGAAGAAGAATACTGAGAGATCATTTAACATTTGGTGCGGGATAGCCAACTGGTTCCCAGGAATTTTGCATCACCACAGTCACCATAGGCCAAGAAGTTCACAAGGACAAACCCAACCAGCAATCCATTGCCAGGAGGGGATTATTGACATTACAATTAATCACCCCATTTTAATTTTACGAAGTTGTATTTTTAAAGAGCTCTGAGCACACTATAGAATTCTTTGAGGATTTTATAGAATACCTTTCTATAAGTATTTTTCCTATAAGTATTTCTTTCTATAAGTATTTCATAAGTATTTTTCCATGCTAACAGTTAAAGCTCTCACTAGCTGACAAGGATTCACTTGCATCTTAGCTGACATGGCCTAATTGCATCTACACTGACACCTTTGTGAGTGGGACATTTGTGAGTGTGGTCTAACAGAGAATGGCAGTTTCCTGAGGCTACTCAAATCTTTTTAAAATGATGTATCTACCCCTTTTATAGATTATTTTTTTATCCAGAAGAATTTAGGAGGACCTCTGTATCCTCTCCTCTGCTAAATTCTATTGAATCATCCATCCGGATTTATCCTGGATCCTAGGCCATGCTGTAGGTTCTGCCATTTTCCATTGACTGGCTCTAAAGTCTTTAATTGACAACCTTTCCTGTTAAGACACTCACCAAATGACTGTATGCTGCCCTGGGTTATATATAACATAATTAAGTAGCTTTTTACCTATATCCAAAGTGATTTATAAATCCTTTTAAATCATATCCAAGGTAATTTAAGCAGTTACGTTTTAATTGAAGTTTCATGTAACACAGTAGCTATAGCCAATCCTTGAATTATGAGCATCCAGTATCAGAAAAGATCCAAATTTATCCATGTTGTCTATCTTTCTCTATAAGGTCTTAAAACAGTTTCAGCCAGTCTGTATTAACACCATTTTCTATACATTTGTCTGGGCGTCAGCCATGGCAGCACCCCTCAAGGCCCTGAGCATTCTAGATTTTGGACTTGGACATCCTCTCCTTTGTCCGTTGGGCCTGGGATGGCCTACTGTAGGTCATCAGTGACTGCTTTCCTCTCCTACATCCAAGGTACCAAGCTGGTCCCTTATTTCTTTTCTAAGTTCCTCCTGCCTGATATCTGAAAAAATCTTAGTAAACTAATCTTTGCTACTTTCCTTACTACATGATCTCAGTGCACACTGCAATGCTGTATTAGCATTCTCATAAGTTAGATGTCTCAATCAAAAGTTTAACATCTTTAATCTCTCCTTATTCTGGTTGATGCCTGTATCAGCCCAGTGACAATATTTTTGAAATAACTCCTCAGGTCCTTGCCTGCTCTTTCTAACGTGTTTGTCTTGTGTTTTGGCAGCTGGAAGTTTGTTCCAAGTTCTCTTGCCAGCTGTACCATTCTATTTATATATTCCTATGTCAAAACTTAACTGTTGATCAATATTGTTGTATTGCAGTTCCCCAGGAAGCACCTCATGGGAAAGAGGAAGCTGTTGGACTCTTTTTCAGCTATGTTTAGACACTGCTTTGTAACTTCTTTCCAGGACAGATTTCTTCCCTTTTGGTAGACAGGCCTTTGCTCTATTCTTCTATTCTCCTGGGGGTAAGGTTTCTATAGCAATATTTTTCTTAGCATCTGGACAAATCTGCTATTAGTCTATTCTGATAACAAGTCATTTTTAGCCCCTGAGCTGTTTAAATGTTATCACCATATACACCCTGCCTATGATTGCCTGATCCCTCTGCTCTGTGATTGAAAATGTCTGAAATCCCTGTACATCTTTTTGTTGTTGTAGTTGGATTGGTCTCTATCACTAACCTGCACTGCTGACATCATTCCTACTGCTGCTACTGGCCATGATTTGAGGGGTGCTTGCACCCTATGCTTATCTATGCTTGCTTCTGCCTTAGACAGAGGAATGTTCTTTTGATCCGAGGACACTTGGGAAGTTCTGATCTCCTGTGAGAGCAATTCCACTAAAACTTACAAGCCTCTTAGCTTATTCTGAATTTCAACACTAGGTTTCTGAACCACGGTATTTCTAGGTAAAAATGAGGGAAGTGAAGGCTCTCTCTCCTGATACCCAATAACACTTTTTTTACTCATCCAAATGTCTCTGCCTCTTAGGGTCTTTTTCATTTAGCTATTCCTAGTCTATGTGGAGGTGTCTGCTAACTGCATCAGGGGCAGATGTTTTATGCTGTCCTTCCAGTATACGTGGTTGAATTTTCACTTCCCCAAACCATGGTGCAGCTCTGATACATCTGTGGCAGTAGCTTCTTTGAGAGGGAATGATGCTTTTAAAACTTTTAGAGTATAAAATTTTCTGTCCTTAGGTTGGCTTTATATCAGCTCTCCTGGATATCACTCACAAGTAAACATAGGATCATCTTACCAATGATTCACTGTCTCATAGCTATAATCATATACATTAAGATCTTTGATGTTAACCCTTAGTCCTCATGTCTTGAGAGACTTCCTGAATTCCTCAATGAACAATTCTTCCTTACTAAATGATTCTCCCATGGCACAAGCTTACTCTTATTAATCTGTCTTACTTCTCCAGATGTGTCTCACAGTCGGTGTATAGCTGTGTTGATCTCTGGCATTCTGTGTCACAGCAGAGTTGAGCTGTACCAAATTCTGGGAGCCAGTGATTTCTCCCCTTGGGTACAGTGTGGCAGTGATCACGGGTAGGCCTGACTCACTGGGTGAAGCAGCATGCCCGGGTAACTTAGGGTTTTCAAGTCAGATCATTGGGCTCCAATTTGACCTGTCCAACAGTCCAAAAGTGGGGTCCAGCACAGGGAACCTAGAATGATGGGACAAGAAAGAAGAGCACATTAGAGCACAACAACATGGCTGATCAAGCTGCATTATATGAGAATTTTAGAGAGGCTTAAATAGGGGAAATTAGGGAGGGGGATGGGGCAGAGGAATGCAGAAAAAGAAGGGAGGAGCCATTCTCTGGTTATCTGGCCAAGGAGTATTCTAGACAATATCAAGATTAGATTTGGTCACAAAATGAGGAGAGTAGATAGTCGGAGACCACACAGCAAGGCTGAGCAGCAGGAATGAAGAGAAGTGGTGTTAAAAGTGTAGCTTCTAAATAACCTAATGGCAGGGAGGTGAATTAGGTAACCTAACTGTAGATTAATATCAGCTATTGCTGTCAGACAAATTTTTATTCAATAGGAAACTGGATATTTGACAGATTACACTTTTTAAAAGCTGGAAATGTATATTGGATGTTAAAGAACAAATATCATCCGTGACACTTCTTCCCACATTTTTTCCAAGTGAGCAGGTAAGCTACCGACACTTTCTTACCACAAGTGGGAACAGGGATCCTGGTCCTCCTGGATGGTTATGTGACATATATCCTTGACCTCTCAAACCCAGTCTTTGGAGGCAAGTTTGCTCAGGTCTGTCACAATGTCCTTTTATGGAGGGAAGGCTTTCTATGACATGGACCTTCATGCAACCAGGTATATCCCATGAAGCCCAGGATAGGCATGTTTGATGGCCTGTTCACTTCACTCACAGGGTGCATCTGTATGGGAGACATTTCAATTTTGTCAATAG